ACTCCGGCTTCCTTTTGGTTTCCATTTGCATGAAATATCTTTTTCCATCCCCTTACTGTCAGTCTGTATGTGTCTCTAGATCTGAAGTGGGTCTCTTGTAGACAGCAAATATATATGGGTCTTGTTTTTGTATCCATTCAGCCAATCTGTGTCTTTTGGTGGGAGCATTTAGTCCATTTACATTTAAGGTAATTATCGATATGTATGTTCCTATTCCCATTTTCTAAATTGTTTTGGGTTCGTTATTATAGGACTTTTCCTTCTCTTGTGTTTTTGTCTAGAGAAGTTCCTTTAGCATTTGTTGTAAAGCTGGTTTGGTGGTGCTGAACTCTCTCAGCTTTTGCTTGTCTGTAAAGGTTTTAATTTCTCCATCAAATCTGAATGAGATCCTTGCTGGGTAGAGTAATCTTGGTTGCAGGTTTTTCTCCTTCATCACTTTCAGTATGTCCTGCCACTCCCTTCTGGCTTGTAGAGTTTCTGCTGAGAGATCAGCTGTTAACCTTATGGGGATTCCCTTGTGTGTTATTTGTTGTTTTTCCCTTGCTGCTTTTAATATGCTTTCTTTGTATTTAGTTTTTGACAGTTTGATTAATATGTGTCTTGGCGTATTTCTCCTTGAATTTATCCTGTATGGGACTCTCTGTGCTTCCTGGACTTGATTAACTATTTCCTTTCCCATATTAGGGAAGTTTTCAACTATAATCTATAATCTCTTCAAATATTTTCTCAGTCCCTTTTTCTCTTCTTCTTCTGGAACCCCTATAATTCAAATGTTGGTGCGTTTAATGTCCCAGAGGTCTCTGAGACTGTCCTCAGTTCTTTTCATTTCTTTTTCTTTAATCTGCTCTGCAGTAGTTATTTCCACTATTTTATCTTCCAGGTCACTTATCCGTTCTTCTGCCTCAGTTATTCTGCTATTGATCCCATCTAGAGTATTTTTCATTTCATTTATTGTGTTGTTCATCATTGTTTGTTTCATCTTTAGTTCTTCTAGGTCCTTGTTAAATGTTTCTTGTTTTGTCTATTCTATTTCCAAGATTTTGCATCATCTTTACTATCATTATTCTGAATTCTTTTTCAGGTAGACTGCCTATTTCCTCTTCATTTATTAGGTCTGGTGGGTTTTTGCCTTGCTTGTTCATATGCTGTGTGTTTTTCTGTCTTCTCATTTTGCTTATCTTACTGTGTTTGGGGTCTCCTTTTTGCAGGCTGCAGGTTCGTAGTTTCCGTTGTTTTTGGTGTCTGTCCCCAGTGGCTAAGGTTGGTTCAGTGGGTTGTGTAGGATTCCTGGTGGAGGGACTAGTGCCTGTGTTCTGGTGGATGAGGCTGGATCTTGTCTTTCTGGTGGGCAGTTCCACGTCTGGTGGTGTGTTTTGGAGTGTCTTTGGCCTTATTATGATTTTAGGCAGCCTCTCTGATAATGGGTGGGGTTGTATTCCTGTCTTGCTAGTTGTTTGGCATAGGATGTTCAGCACTGTAGCTTGCTGGTCATTGAGTGAAACTGGGTGCTGGTGTTGAGATGGAGATGTCTGGGAGATTTTCGCTGTTTGATATTATGTGGAGCTGGGAGGTCTCTTTGGACCAGTGTCCTGAAGTTGGCTCTCCCACCTCAAAGGCACAGCACTGACTCCTGGCTGCAGCACCAAGAGCCTTTCATCCACACTGCACAATGTGTGACGTCTGTCAGGCATTCAGTGTCACAATGCAGCTTGACTGTCTTTCAGACAACCTCAGTAATATTTTTAAATTGGCAGAGGCAGCAGGCCATACGGTTAGGTAAGATCCCGGCCCGCCGTCCGGACGACTGTTGCGGCTTCGGCCGCCGGGGCCCCTCCAGAGCCGGCAGCCTCAGTGAGGCTGCCCTCCCCTTGTCCTCCGGGGCAGTTCCGTGACGGCAGAGGGAAGAGACCCCGAGCTGCCATATGCTTTATTTTTATTGGTTCTATAGTATTTCATTGTGTTAAATTATATCATAATTTGTTTAACCCTTTCCATATTGTTTCATATTTATGCTATTTCCATAGTTTCTCTCTTACAATTGATAATTTCATAAGCATATATCTTTGCCAACTTCTCTGATTATTTCCTAAGGGTAAATTCTTAGAAATGCAATTTTTTTCCTTTGGTATTTTTTAATTGAGGTAAAATGTACATACAGTGAGATACACAAACCTTAAGTGTTCAGTTCAATGAGTACTGATCCCTGTAATCAACACCCCCCAATAAAAATATATTGGGGGTGTTATGGAAGCATCTTATGGAAAAACCGGAACGAACAACTTTTTGGCCAACCCAGTACAACATTTTCATCACTTCAGAAAATTTTGCTGTGCCCCATTCCAGTCAATTCCTATTCCCTATAGATATTCACTGTTTTGATTTCTGTCACCTTAGATTAGTTTTCCCTGTTCTTGAACTTCATACAAATGGAATCATACAGAATGTACTCTTTGGTGTCTGACTTCTTTCACTTAACGTCTGTGAGGGTCATACTTGTTGCATTTAGCAGTAGTTCTTTTTTCTTTTTTAATATTTATTTATTGTGGCTGCGCTGGGTCTTAATTGTAGCATGCGGGCTCTTAGTTGCAGCATGTGGGCTCTTAGTTGTGGCATGCTGACTCTTAGTTGCTACATGCGTGTGTGCTATAGTTTCCCAAGCAGGGATTGAACCCGGGCCCACTGCATTGGGAGCATGGCATCTTACCCACTGGACAACCAGGGAAGTCCCTACCAGTAGTTCTTTTTTGTTGCCGAATAGTAATTCCATTGTGTGAATATGCCACAATTTGTTTATTCTTCTGTTGATGGACATGTGGGATGGACATGCAGGTTGTTTCCAGTTTGGGGCAATTATGGATAAAATTGCTGTAAACATTTTTGTCCTAGTCTTTTTGTGGACATATGTTTTAGTTCATGTTGGGTAAGTACCTAGGAGTAGTTGTACCGTTTTACACTTCCATCAGCAAATATGTGAGAGTTCCGTTTGCTCCACATTTCTTGTCAGCATTTGGTGTTGCCAGTCTTTGTAATTTGAGTCAGTAGGTGTGGAGTGGTATCTTACTGTGGTTTCATTTTGCATTTTCCTTGTGGCCAGTGATGTAGAACACTATTTCTTGTGCTTTTTTTTTGTTATTTGTATGTCTTATTTTGTGAATCATCTAAGTCTTTTGCCTATTTTTTATTGGTAGTTTGGGTGTATTATTGATTTGTAGATGGTCTTTGGATATACTGGGTACAAGTTCTCTGTCAGATTCATGTAAAATAAATATTTTCTCTCAATACGTGTCTCATTCCAATAGGTAGGTATCTTCTGATGAGCAAAAGTTTTCAATTTTGATGAAGTCTTGCTGATCAATTTTTTCTTTAATGGTTAGTACTCTTTCTGTCTTAAGAAATCTTTGCCTATTTCAATGTGACAAAGATACTGTTGTATTTTTGTATAAGACTGAAATTGAGTTTAGGACTGTATTAGGATTCTTCAGAGAAACAGAACCAATAGGATGTGTATATATATAGAGAGAGAGGGAGTGGAGATGGATTTATTTTAAGGAATTGGTTCATGCACTTGTGGAGGCTGGCAAGTCCAAAATTTGCAGGGTATGCCAGCAGGATAGAGACAGGAAAGAACTGATGCTGAAGCTCAAGTCCAAAGGCAGTCTGGTGGCAGGATCCTTCCTTCCTCAAGGCAAGTCAACCTTTTTTCTATTTAGGCCTTCAACTGATTGGATGAGGCTCACCCTCATTCTACAGGGTAATCTGCTGTACTCAGAGTCTACTGATTTAAATGTTAATCTCATCTAAAAATTACTTTCACAGAAATGTCTAGAATAATGTTTGACCAAATATCTGGGTACCATGGCCTGGCCAAGTTGACACATAAAATTAATGATCACAAAAATTCAGCTTTACAATTGCTGAGTTAAAAACCTTTTCTAAGTGAAATTTTTGTTAGATATTGCTAAACTCCTCTCTAGAAAGACTACTGTTTTCCCACCTCCCCCTCAGAATGAGTGCTTGTTTTATTACACCCTAACGAACAATAGATCTCATCTTTGCTAATCTGAAAAGTGAAAAATGATGTATTGTAGAATGAACATTTTTTCATACTTGTTGGCTATTTGTATTTCTTCTCTTGTGAATTTCCTGTTTAGTTTATTTATTTTTGCTTGGGGTGTGTTTACCCATTTCTTATTTATTTACTTTGTATTAACTCTCTTATTAACAAGAAATATTAACTCTTTGTCCTATACATTGCAGTTATTTTTCCCAGTTTATTTTTTTTTACCTTTTAACTTGATTGATTGATTGACCAGTGAGTAGTTTTGGCTTATGAATTCTTTTCTTTCTTTTATAGCCAATCTATTTTTTATAGTTTTCCTACTTAAAGATTATGTAAGTAAGGACTATTTTCCTATACAATAAACAGTGTTTACAAAGATGTCCTTGAATCTTCCAAAAATAAATTAAATTGTGCTTATGTACTTTATTCAAGAAGTCAAGACACTTATTATTTCTGGATGGGTGGGTCTATAGATGTTTGTAGTTTTTAGTACTTTACAATTTACTTTACGATTAAAAAGAGCAGTAGTAAGAGAACTGAGTAATAAGTATTAAAAAGATTTCCATCTAAAATAGTTAAAATAGGTTACAAAAGTTTGGGTGTTTAAAGGCATAAGTCTTGATTCTCTGGGGAGTTTGGCCTTTAGAGCCTGGTGGTCCAAGAGAGCCTGGGATTTTGTAGCAGGTTATCGTATCAGGTTAGTTTGAGAGACCAGGGGCCTGAGTTTATCCTGGGTCTGTGCTCATCCTTGCATGAGCACCCATAAGCCACAGACGCGGTCCTCAGTGGACAGCCCTGGCCTGCCTCTCAGGAGACCATGTGGCTTCTCAGAAATGATGACAGACGACTCTGAGTATCTAAATAAAAAGAGGGATATATGTTATCTCCAGTGTGCCCGTGCAGCATTGTGTTTGAGAGTTTGTCTTTTTTCCCTTCTTAGGTAGCAGATGGGGCCAATGCAGTTGTGCTGGGGACGTTGGGAGACATTTCCTCTCCTCTCGCAATTATTGGTGGAAGTTGTGCTCTGCAGGGTTTCGATTATGAAGGAAATGATCTCTTTTGGACGGTATGAAGAGCGAAATACTCTCTTTAGTACTCTTAAACGTTTTTACTTTTAATATTCTTTAGGTCTTGTTTGTTTTTTACCACTAACTGGAATGAATAATAGAAAGAAAATAGAACAATGTTTATAATTCTGTACATTTAAAAAAAGGATATGAGGGCTTCCCTGGTGGCGCAGTGGTTGAGAGTCCGCCTGCCGATGCAGGGGACACGGGTTCGTGCCCCAGTCCGGGAAGATCCCACATGCCGCGGAGCGGCTGGGCCCGTGAGCCATGGCCGCTGAGCCTGCGCATCTGGAGCCTGTGCTCCGCAATGGGAGAGGCCACGACAGTGAGAGGCCCGCGTACCGCAAAAAAAAAAAAAAAAAAAAAGGATATGAGTAATTAGAGTTTTAAATTGGTGGTTTGTATCATCCTCTCTTTCATGTAGCTCCTGTGTTTGGATTAAGTGAAAAAAGATGGTATAGTAATGATTTTGGTTCTATTTTCAGGTTACTGGAGATAATGTTCATTCCTTGGCCTTGTGTGACTTTGATGGTGATGGGAAGAAAGAGGTATGTGCGGGAGGAGATACTGCGCTTGTGTATACCTCTCAGCTGAGTACATACATTTTCCCATGACGGTGACATTAGTGTGGCGAGAGCTGTTAGCTTCTCACAGGTGATTTTGGTGCTCTGTTGCCTAAATGGTGAGCTGACTGGCCTCATTCGTCTTTCTCCTCTCTTTTCAACAATAATTTACTTGTGTTTGTCTAATACAGAGATCAAGACCATGATGTTTCAAAGACACCTGACAGGGAGAGAAGGCAGAACATTTGATGGGATCGCAGTCACATTCACAGTCTTATAACTTGACTCCAATGCTTTTAAATTGTACCTAGTTCTCAGTTTTAGCCAACGTTTTCAGGAATCTGAAAGTTTTGGAGATGGGCTCTTAGCCTTTTTAAACTATTCTAATGGTTTCTCTAGAAACTGACTTCTTGAGCAGCCAGTGAGGTACTGTGTTGGGCATTGACTTACCTCCACTTGTGCACGGATGCTGGGCTCTGTCTCTTGAAACAGGGCTTCCACCTGCAGGCAGACAGACACCAAACCAAGAACATTTTCAGGTGCCTGGTGAAAGAACTTGTTCTGGGTAGGAGGTGCAGCCCACATGGCAGGACCTATAGTAACCACTTTTTCTTCACTGACTGAATCTTAACCTTCTCAGTGGAAGGAACCTTTCTGAGCATCACATTACTGGGAAGTTGGAACTCCTGGGTGGCTGTAGGAACATACAAAGTATCATGCGATTTTTTTTTTTATTTTTGGAAATGTTGCTGTGTTCACTCGCTGAGCTAAATATGTATGATTTTTTTCCTTTCAGCTTCTTGTTGGATCTGAGGATTTTGATATCCGAGTTTTTAAAGAAGATGAGATTGTGGCAGAAATGACAGAAACAGAGGTAAGAAGTGTAAGAAGGTATCAGAATTATGATAACCTTGACAGATTAGCATAGTCAAATGTAACAGTAAAGGAGAGTGCTGGGACATCTTCTCACAACCCAGACAGTTTTAGGGTAAAAACTGTGGGGATTAAACAGAGCTGTGCATTACAGAGAAAGAAGCATTTTAAATATCCTTTATCAAGATATATCTTGAAAAGACTGATTAAATAGAGAAAAATTATTGAGCACATAAAGGTATTTCTTTTAATGAGCTAATACATACTATTGATAATAATAGCAACCATTTACTGTGCACCTGAAATATGCCAGGCAATGAACTTACTCATCCTACAACAACCCTGTTATAAAGGTATTATTAGTTCTCATTTTACAGATGAGGGAACATGTTAAGTTGCCCTGTTAAGTTTCTCTCACAAGCTCATGGCTGTTAAGTGGCATATGGTCAGGATTTGAAGCTTTGTGTCTCCTCCTCATGTGTATTAAATGGGGTTGAATATTGAACAAAGTGTGTAAATGAGATTTTTATACTTTTTCTCTTAATTCAAATTAAGTACTTCTTAGGCACATTTCTATAGGTAAACTTAAAAATCAGATGTTAGAGAACTTGACTAGTTTCTTTGTGATTAGAATTACTCATGTAATTGAACCTGAGATGTTTCTTAAAGAGTTTTTTTTTTCTAAAACAGTGAAGATTACTCTTATCCTTTGTAGTTTTGGTATTCTTAGGATATTTATTTGCTGCTGGTTTTCCAGGATTGGGCAAGATGGAAACAAAAAAGAATTAGGATATTCTGAATTAAGGAAGGAGAAAGGGATAAAGGAGCAATGGCTGTGACCATTGTAAATGGACAGGAAACAAACAAACAAACAGAAGGAAGTCTTGGAGATCAAAATGATGGGATTGTGCAAAATTGAGTCAGGTGGTGTTTGGGAGTCTGTATCAGAAAAGCTTGAGGGCACCAGCCTCCGAACTCACCTTGGCTACTCATCCTCGCTTCTCGCCACTTACAAAGCTGTCTAGGGACGTCAGGCTTCTATTTCCCTGACTACAAAAGGGAGACCACAAAGCAAAACCTGCATATTGATATATAAAAGTGTTATCAGTGATTTTAACTGGTTTACCTTTAGTATAGATTTTAACTTCGACTTACTATACTTTTTATGCAGTCTTAGTTATTACGGTTGTAAACTAATAGCTGTGGATGGAGGAAAATGAAGGGGAGAAGTGAGTGCCAAAAGCAACAGTCTGAAGATGTGTGTCCATATGGGGGCGGTTTTGTTTACGTGTATGTGTTTAATGTGTGCTTTTCTAGAGAGAAGATCCTTAGCTTTCATTAGATTCTTGAAGGGGGTTGCAACCACCCTGTTAACAATTTGAGGGCTTCCCTGGTGGCGCAGTGGTTGAGAATCTGCCTGCCAATGCAGGGGACACGGGTTCGAGCCCTGGTCTGGGAAGATCCCACGTGCCGCGGAGCAACTGGGCTCGTGAGCCACAATTACTGAGCCTGCGCATCTGGAGCCTGTGCTCCGCAACAAGAGAGGCCGCGATAGTGAGAGGCCTGCGCACCGCGATGAAGAGTGGCCCCCGCTTGCCACAACTAGAGAAAGCCCTCGCACAGAAACGAAGACCCAACACAGCCATAAATAAATAAATAAAGCAAACTGTAAACAAGTAAAAATAAATAAACACTATTATATTAAAAAACAACAACAACTTGAGAATCACTGGCTTGTAGGTGCTGTGTCCTGTATTACCATTTCCCTTTCATTCAAATTGTAGTAAATTGGGACTTCCCTGGTGGCTCAGTGGATAAGAATTTGCCTGCCAATGCAGGGGGCACGGGTTCGAGCCCTGCTCCGGGAAGATCCTACATGCCGCAGAGCAACTAAGCCCGTGCGCCACAACTACTGAGCCTGTGCTCTAGAGCCGCGAGCCACAACTACTGAGCCCATGTGCCAAAACTACTGAAGCCTGCATGCCTAGAGTCTGTGCTCCGCAACAAGAGAAGCCACCGCAACGAGAAGCCTGTGCACCACAACGAAGAGTAGCCCCCGCTCGCCGCAACTAGAGAAAGCCTGCGAGCAGCAACGAGTACCCTACGCAGCCAAAAATAAATGAATAAATTACAAAAAATTTTTTTGTTTAAAAAAAAATTTCGTAGTAAATCTTTTCTCTTTTAGGGAATCATTGAGGTGTTGTTGGATTTCTGTTTATTGTCAATACTAGATGTGAGGGGAGTGCATTCTTTGAAACACCTCTTTCCTAAATCCTGGGAAAGGACAGAAGAACATGAAATAGAGCAAGGGATTTGAGGTACCTCTTGATCCTCTAGTCCGCAAAAGAAGAAACTAGCGAGCTAATGAAGGACTAAGGGACTGAGGGAAACTGGGGCTAAATTTACGAAAATGTGGACTTCATAAGATTGTTCATTTCAGGGCTGTTTTCCTGTCCTCTTGGTTTGATTTTGCTCCTAGTTCAAATGTCTTTTCACACATCAGCAAAATTATAATTTATTTGGCAGTTGAACAGCACTACCAAAAGAATGCCTTGAGCTAAATAATTCTGGAGTCCTACCCAGCACTTTGTATTCAGAGTTAAGTGAAGTGGGTGGTTTTATAGAAAAGCTGTAGGTGTAGAAGAAATTACATAACTATTCTCTGCTTTATACAATTTATTTCTTTATATCTCTTGTATTAGTGTCAGAATTAGAAAGTAGATCTGCAGGATCATAGATATCATTAAACTTTAGTTTTAACTTTTAAGGATAATTTTTTTCAGTATCTAAAATTTTATCCTCTTAAGTATGTTAAATCCTCTAATAATTCTATAAATATTTCAGTATAGTATATAAATTATATATATTGTTAGATACATATAGAAATCCATGTGCTGGGTTTTTGCTTTTCAAAGGATTATGTTTTCTTCTAAAAAACGTCTTTCATCTCTAGCAAACAAATTATGTCATAGAAAAGTATACACTTAAAAGATGTTTAATTGTGGATTTTACAAGTCCTTTTAAAATTTAGACTGTAGGGCTTCCCTGGTGGCGCAGTGGTTGAGAGTCCGCCTGCCGATGCAGGGGGCACGGGTTCGTGCCCCGGTCCGGGAAGATCCCACATGCCGGGAAGATCCCACATGCCGCGGAGCGGCTGGGCCCGTGAGCCATGGCCGCTGGGCCTGCGCGTCCAGAGCCTGTGCTCCGCAACGGGAGAGGCCACAACAGTGCGAGGCCCGCGTACCGCAAACAAAAAAAAAAAAAATCAAAATAAAAAAAAATAAAAATAAAATTTAGACTGTAGGGTATCATAAGTTAAGGAAACTGGAATAATAATTAAAACATTTTGAGTTAGTGTGTATAACATCTATTGTACATATTCCAGATCTTGTGTATGTGGCTTATTCCCTCCTTAATTCCTTAATTTTATTATTTAAAAAATACTAATTTGTTGAAACTTGCTACATATGCTCAGTCTAAAACAGTAAATTTTGTGAGTTTATTTAATTCTGATTATCCAACTCTGAAATAGATGACACTGTTCATAGAGAAGGGGAATGCATTCCCCTCTAATGGTTTGGAAGTGCATTTAAATCTAATTTAAACATACTTATAGCAAGGCATGCAGTTCTTTGGGTTTTTTTTTTTGCGGTATGCGGGGCCTCTCACTGTTGTGGCCTCTCCCGTTGCGGAGACACACAGGCTCAGCGGACACACAGGCTCGGGACACACAGACTCAGTGGCCGTGGCTCACGGGCCCAGCCGCTCCACGGCATGTGGGATCTTCCCGGAGTGGGGCACGAACCCGCGTCCCCTGCATCGGCAGGCGGACTCTCAACCACTGTGCCACCAGGGAAGCCCCCAAGGCATGCAGTTTTATAAAGCCACACTTTGCACTAAATTGAGCCTTAATGAACTGTGTGTTTATCATTATTTTTTGCAGATAATCACCTCTCTTTGTCCCATGTATGGCAGTCGATTTGGTTATGCCCTTTCCAATGGCACAGTTGGAGTTTATGACAAAACAGCCCGATACTGGAGAATTAAGGTTAGTATGATTAAGCCTCTGAGATTCAGGGATTTTATACTTATTGAGAGACTTACGTACTAATTGTTGAAATTCCTTTTCAGTCCAAAAATCATGCCATGAGCATTCATGCTTTTGACCTTAATTCTGATGGAGTGTGTGAACTGATAACTGGTTGGTCCAATGGGAAGGTATGTTTAAACAGTAGAGTTCAAGTATGATTTAAAGTAATAATTGTCTGAGATACATTGGCTGTATGACTCAGAGCAGTAACACGAAAATATAAACTTGAGTTCCTTGGCTGTGCTTTCAAATGTAACTTTATAATCTTCCCATGTATTTTTATTCTTGCTCTAGTTATCAACACTGCAGAGTGAGTGAGTGTCCTTTCCGTCTCCTAAGCGCTGTTTGGGGGAAAATCTCTAGGAAGGTTCTTTCTAAATCTCTTCCTTGAAGAAATGAGAATCAGTTTCATCAGGGTGATCCTAAGCATAAGCACATTAAAAAAAAAAAGGATATTTAATAAGCTAATAGTGAACTGTGTATAGCTCTTTTCTAGTAAATCTTCAAGTCTGACTAAAAACAGAATTAATGGGAAGAATTATGTTAGCATATTGTTTCCTGAGCTAGAACTTCAAAATAGAATTTTTTTTGCTTCTTTCCTTTTTTTACCTTCAAATCAGAATTTTCGACAGTCTTTTGGCAAAGTCAGGATTATCTTGTTAGCAGCTGCTTCAGTAGCTGTCAGATCTCCATGGATTCCATTTGCCCTGTGGCTCTTTCATCTGTCAGTGCCGACTGCATGGAGATCAGCTAATTCTATCTTTTCTTCTTTAACGTTTCTTTACTTGTGGCCAGTGCCTTGTAACCTGCCTTTGGTATTGTGTGGAAAACAGGTTCCAAACAACCTATGTTGGTTTCTACTTCTCCACTTGGTTTTGTCTTTGGTCATGGGTGTCAACAATGACAAAGTAAGACCACGTAGTTGCTTATTAAGAAACTTGAGAATCCATAAAGGGGACCCTGTTCTGGAGGAATGTAAATTATCATGGTTGATTTGAGAATTAGAAACTACTTGACTTGAGAAGTTATCAAAAGTAACCTTCCGATCTGACTCTGGACCTAGATGTTTTTCTCGTTAAATGCTTTCAAAATTTTAAGAAATTTCTATTATATAATCTGTTGTAGGGCATAAAAAAGATAAGAAAACTACACAGTTCATTATATAAGTAGAAAAATTGATATCTGCACTTAACAGAAATAGCATTAAAAGGAAAATATACAGATCCAACAGGTGAATATAGGTACAAAATTACTAAATTAACTGCGACTAGTCAACTGACTTTTTCTTTAGTAGGTCATTTGTTGAGTTGGAGGCTCATCTTCTCTTCCAAGGCAAAACCTTCATGTAGGATAAAGCAAAAGAATAGAAAATCCACAGAAATATAAATTCGTAGTCCTGTTTCTTAGTTAGCAAATGAACCCTCTTGTTTGCTAAATATTGTGGAAATGCAATGTCGAAGGCCATGGAGTAGTTTAGAAAGAAGCAAGTTCAGTTCAATCTGAGTTCGAGGGTTCTGTTACTGTGTGAAGAGCTTTGGTTAATACGGGCCATTCATTACTTTACAGGCTTTAGCATCCATAATTTTCAGGCTTAACTGATGTTGTTATTAAGAGCATGGTATTCTTCAGACAAGGGGTAGGAACTAGTAGTAAGCTATGACCTAAATTAGTGTTTTTCATTGCAAAGTTTTGCCCAGAAGGATGTTTATGAAAAGACAGAAATAGTGGTCACTGAGATGCTTGCTCTATTAGATTTTCTGTAGCTAGCCTTTTATTAATATAATGCATATGTTATTGCTTAGAACAAAGTCATCATTTTAAGTGGTTATCCTTCATTGTTGTTCTGAGATGCTTTTGTTTCTGATGGGTTGGTTAGTTATTTGCCTCCCTTGGGAAGAGGAGACTCAGAGGATAGTAGGGCTCTCTGAGGTGTTTCAGCAGTGTATGTGGGAGAGGGACTCTTTTTTAAAAAAAATATTTATTTATTTATTTGGCTGCACCAGATCTTAGTTGCAGCATGCGGGCTCTTAGTTGCGGCATGTGGGATCTTAGTTCCCTGACCAGGGATCGAACCCGGGCCCCCTGCATTGAGACCACCAGACTAGAGAAGTCCCAGAAGACGGACTCTTAAACAGGGCTATTACAAAAGGTTATATGGTGGAAGACTGGGCTAGGTTGGCATTTTTCAAACGTTAGCTATAACTATATTGTATACATTTACATATAGTAAATATAAAATTTGTATATAGAGCTAACATGTCTTGTATGCCTCTATGTGCTAGCCCTGTTCTGAGTGCTTACCACGTGTTAATTCCTTTAGGCCTCATTACAACTCTGAGGTGTGGATACAGTTATTTTCCTCATGTTCTTATTATTGATCTCCAGATCAGTCAATTATTGACCTCCAGATGAGGAGGCCAAGCACAGAATGGTTAAGAGACTTGTCCAAGATCCCACAGGCAAAAAAAGACCCCAGTGGCAAAGCTGGAATTCAAACCCAGGCAGTCTGGACTTTTGCACTGTTCTGTATATTCTAAATGTACTGCCTCTCAGGCAACCCACTTCTTCAGAGGAAATACTACGTGCAGGCCAGTAGGTAAAACAGCTTTTACTTAATAATCAAAAGAAAACAGAGCTGATTGTGGCCCCTTGGCCCTGATGGTTGTAGGTACGTCCTGAGAAGCCACAGGGTCCCATGGAATACTCTTGAAAACTTCTAGACCATAGCTGACTTTAAAGCTGATTCAACTTTAAAATTTTGTGTTGTTTTAAAAAAACTGTAGCATAAGCTATTTTTCAAGTTCTTGTTTTATTTTTAGGTTGATGCTCGAAGTGACCGAACTGGGGAGGTCATCTTTAAGGACAACTTTTCTTCTGCAGTTGCTGGTGTGGTGGAGGGAGATTACCGGATGGATGGCCACATACAGTTAATCTGCTGCTCGGTGGATGGGGAAAGTAAATCGGGATAGGAAAAATCCTTGAAAAGTCAGATTTTGACTTGGGTCCGAATACCGGGAAATTCCACTATAAAGTGTTTGTGTTGATATCCTTTCATCCTAATAAATTCATCTGAGTTGGGGAAGTGAAAACTTAGCTTTTAAGAACAGGTAACTGATGACTTAAAAGTAGACCTGGCTGTATCTGGGCTTATCCCTCAGTCTGGTGAGTGTTTTTTCCTCTTGTCAGTCCGGGGCTACCTGCCAGGCACGGCTGAGATGAGAGGGAACCTCATGGACACCAGCGTAGAGCAGGACCTGATCCGAGAGCTGAGTCAGAAAAAGCAGAACCTGTTGCTGGAGCTCCGGAACTATGAGGACAATGCCAAGGTAGGTCCTAATGTGGAGGGCCCATGGGAGTCTGAGAAGTTGAGAATGACCAGGAGGATTGGCAGCTGTGAAAGAGTTTCAGCGTCTGCCACGGTGTGGGCTCCCCTTCCCCGCTGGTGGAAGCACAGATGGTTTGCCTTTTTGGCTAGTGTCAGAATGAAGAGGGTGTGTATCCTTTAACCTAGAAATTCCACTGCTGGGCAGCTAAACTATGGAAACATTTGCATGAGTGTTCAGAGACACTTACCAGAACTATTTGTAGCCGGGAACAGTTGGAAGCAACTTAACTTTTGATCAGTAGTAGGGACTGTGGGCTGGGGAATATTAAGCAGCTCAAAAGAATGAAGTATATATATGGGGACTGATATGGAAGGGTATCTGTGGTATTACTGAATGAAAGGAAGCGAGAACAATATGTATAGAGTAACTTATCTTTTTCAACAACAAATAACATAAAAATTGGCAACTGCAGAAGCTCTGTGTGTGTGCGTGTGCGCGCATGTGTGTATATGTACATGTATGTACCAAACTGGCTGGAGGATGAGCTGGGGAGTAGGATTTTAATTTGTCCCATGATGCATAACTGTATTTGAATTTGCTATACTAAGTGAATTTGTTTAGTTACTAAAAGAAATGCAGAAAAATGTAAAAGACATGCTGGGGGACGCTGGACCCTAACCACAGGAAGAGATGAGAGTATTTTCCTTTGGGAAAAAGCCAGGTTAGAGTGAGAGCACTAATGAGGTGAGTCCTCTGAAGTCTAAAGAATCAGGTGAATAAGATGATGGGGGATCTGTCTTCTGAAGCTAAATAGCCATGTTATTTAAAATTAACATTAGTTCACTGTTCCGGTGACTGAGCTGGAAGTGGGTGGGGTGTTTTGCAGGCCGAACTGAGCAGTCCACTGAATGAGGCTGATGGGCATCGGGGCATCATCCCGGCCAACACCAAGCTCCACACTGCCCTCTCCGTCAATCTGGGGAGTGAGGCGCAGGCTGCCCATGCAGAGTTGTGCATTTCCACTTCTAATGGTAAGTCGTTACTTGGAGCTGGTGTGTTGGCACCTGTGCCATCTTGGCGTGGTTCTTGGACTGCTGTCTTTTCTCTTCTCTGCAGATACCATCATCCGAGCAGTATTGATTTTTGCAGAGGGAATTTTTCTAGGTGAAAGCCACGTGGTGCATCCCAGCATTCACAACCTTTCCAGCTCCATCCGCATCCCAATTACACCTCCCAAAGATGTCCCTGTGGATCTGCACTTGAAAACCTTCGTGGGTTACAGGAGCAGGTGACCCTTTGCAAGTCACAGTTCATTTCCAGAGAGCAGTTAGCAAAATGTGTAGATTTCCCATTATGTCATGGATTCTGTGGGGCCGGAGAAGCCGTTTAATGGTTCTTCCCACCCAGGCAAGGTTTCCTATGACCTCTTATTTCTCTAATTTGAAATCTTTCAAAAAAAATAACGAGTATATATAAATTTAAGATGGTTATTTCTGGTTTTAATCAGATGATCTCATATTCACAAAAGTTCCAAAAATACATTTAAAGGATGATTCAGTTTTGGCCACTAAGACTACAAGGTTAGGTTGCACCTTTACATGAGAGTCATATGTAACCTCAGCTAGTGAAAGAAAACCACTAGATTTTTGGAAGATAAAAACCTTTTCACATTCCTTTTAGAGTGTTTTAAACCCTTGGTGCAGGCATGTATTGGCTTGGCCAAAAAGTTCGTTCGGGGTTTTCCGTAACATCTTACGGAATGAACTTTTTGGCCAGCCCAATATGTACACAGACTCATGATGTCACTAAATCCCAAACACCATTACATATGGGACTTTAACCCTCAAGTCTTTTTTGGGCGGGGGGAGTTTCTTTATTGAAACCCTTAAATGTCAGCTTGATGACCTGGTAGTGACGTTACATTTATTTTCTGGGCCTTGCCCTTTGAAATAAATTCTGCATAAACAGTTCTCTTGTGTTCCGTTGGTTGGCCACAGCACCCAGTTTCATGTGTTTGAGTTGACAAGACAACTCCCCCGTTTCTCCATGTATGCGCTCACCAGCCCGGACTCTGCCAGTGAGCCGCTCAGTTACGTCAACTTTATCATTGCAGAACGGGCACAGAGGGTGAGTATCTGGCTTTTCTCTTTCAACACTTTTGCACTTTAGAATCCTTTGGATGTTTTTTTGGTAGAAAGGGGGAAATTACATGAATGTGTTATTTGGTAGCAGTAAATATGACACGAAAGAGTTATGTAGCTTGGAGTTGGATTGTTTATAACCTGTACCAAAAATGTTGCTAAAATATCTTCTCCCATTTTGAAAAATTATTCAAAAATATTTATTTTGGATAATCAATTCAGAAATATTTATTTTGAATAATTTATTAGTAATAATAATTAAATAATTTATTACCTAAGCAATCCTTAGTCACAGGTGAATTCTTCCCAGTTTTCAATTCCTCTCTTTCTTATAGTCTTAGTGTGGTTGGATCTAGTGTTCCAAGAGGAGCGTGCATCAGAATGGAAAGAGAGTGGGGACTTGGAAATTGGAACATTTTTGGGGTTCAAGTGCTACCTTAACTAGTAAATTCTTAGCGATGTTATGGAATTCCCCTCAACAGTCTGAGCCCCAGTTTTCTTATCTGTAGGTGAGGATAGTCTTAGCTCACAAGGGGGCCCCTGAGGATTACATAATTGGTATAATAGCATTTTGTAAAGTTTAAAGGACTAATACCTGTGGATTTTAACATTGGCTGGACTTTGGAATTCTCAGTGAGGCTTTTAATCATGTAGATTCTCAGGCCCCTTCCTGGCCTGTGAAACATGAAACTCCAAAAGGCCTCACAGGTGGATCTTATGTGGAACCTGTGTTGCAAACCACTGTAAAGTATTATTATTTATATTAAAATTAATTCTTTACTTACAGTGTGCATGTATCTCTGTGTTTGTGCTGTATGTGTGCAAACTTCATTTAAATTTTTTAAAGAGTGGAATGGAATGATTTTAAGCAGGATATAGTCACAGAATAGCTATCATGTAAACAGAATTAGCCTCATACCTGAATCATTTCCACACTGCATATAAGATTATGTCTAAGTAGAAAATGCTATAAAATTACGCATGCTGTGGGACCAGACATAATTATGAACGTTACTTAAGAACATGCATGGGGTGGGAAAAAGGAGTGTGAATAGTGTTTTCTTGGTGGGGGTGAAGTATAATTCTTTGTTTTTTGTTTGTTTGTTTTGTTTTGTTTTTCCAAGGAGTAAAACTAGAAAGGATAACTCTTAAATGACTGTACTTTAAAAACGGAAATTCATTTCATCCTGTTTAAGGTTTTTATGTGGCTCAACCAGAACTTTCTGTTACCAGAGGACACTAACATTCAGAATGTTCCATTTCAAGTGTGTTTCACGTCCTTACGGAATGGTGGCCAGCTGTGTGTAAAAATAAAACTTAGTGGAGAGGTAATTTTTACTGTCACGGGCACAGATTTCTCTCATAACATTTAACTTTCAGTGTAAAGTGAGGCAGGTGAAACCAATCTGAAGGTCATAAAACCACGTGTTTCAGCCTAGTCTGTTAGTGTTATCATCTCTGACACGGGCGTATAATCTAGAACAGCGGTTTTCTGCCTCTCTCCCCCCTTCCCTTCACCCATTCCTTGCCTAATTTGGGACGGTTAGGAATACAGAGGAGGACAAAACATTTTCCCTGTCTGAATGACCTTGTTGTTCAGTTTATAAGGCAAGAGGATTGATTTTTTTTTGCCTGCTGCTAGAAATAATGTGGTTTGTAATTTCCTTGAGGGCTAGACCTTATCTTTATTTATCACCACATATACATTTATGTTCAATAGATGTGTTGGATATGGGGAATTTCAGGTAGTTTCAGCCAAGTTTGTCTTTAATGTCCAAGGATGCTAACTTGTCTTTTTTTCTCTGGATAGATCACTATAAATACTGATGATATTGATTTGGCTGGTGATATCATCCAGTCGATGGCATCATTTTTTGCTATTGAGGACCTTCAGGTCGAAGCCGATTTCCCTGTCTATTTCGAGGAATTACGAAAGGTGCTAGTTAAGGTGAGGGCACCTGGTGGGTGCATTTGAGAAAACATTGTGGTCTAATAATGTTTGAAATATTTCTCTTAAATTAGTGGTACTACAAATGTACATATGTTACATGATAGTCATGTTTTAAAGAACTTTTGAAAATTCTTAAAATAAAAATTGAGCTAGTATTGGAGAGTTCATGAGTTAAAAAGATATCTTTTATAAAAGTGAGTGGTTAGCTCTTGCACCCTGCTTTCTGTTTGGTTTGGAGGGACACTTTAAAAACAATAAATGAACATTTTCCTTTGCTAGCCTTTCATCTTATCTGTTGTATCTACTTTGCTTTTTGGTTTAGTGCTTTCCAAGAACCCAAAATCAAAAAAGAAAAGGATTGTGATTTGTCCCCACTTATAACAACATCCCTACCCCAGATCTCTAAAATGTTAATATTTGTGTTGCTTGGGCTCACGCTACTAAGACGTGGGTAAGATTCACATCGAATGTCATTTTGAGTGTTGGAGGCAGCACAGGAGGAGATGAAACCCGGGAGATAGTTAAGATGGGGCAGGTGAACGGCAGAAAGAAAAGGGCGGGGCTCCCCTGGTGGTGCAGTGGTTAAGAATTCGCCTGCCAATGCAGGGGACGTGGGTTCCAGCCCTGGTCCGGGAAGATCCCACATGCCGCAGAGCAACTAAGCCCGTGCGTCACAACTGCTGAGCCTGCGCTCTAGAGCCGCGAGCCACAACTACTGAGCCCATGTGCCACAACTACTGAAGCCTGCCCGCTTAGAGCCCGTGCTCCACAGCAAGAGAAGCCACCATAATGAGAAGCCCATGCACCGCAGCGAGGAGTGGCCTCCGCTCACCGCAACTAGAGAAAGCCTGCGTGCAGCAACAAAGACCCAACACAGCCAAAAATAAAAATAAATAAATAAATAAAAAAGAAAAGGGCCTCGGTATATAATACATAGCGTCTTTTCAATTTATCTAGCTTTCAAGACGTTTGTGAGGCTTTTTTTTTTTTTTTTTTTTTTTTTGTGCTGTACGTGGGCCTCTCACTGTTGTGGCCTCTCCCGTTGTGGAACACAGCCTCCGGACGCGCAGGCTCAGCGGCCATGGCTCACGAGCCCAGCCGCTCCGCGGCATGTGGGATCTTCCCGGACCGGGGCATGAACCCGTGTCCCCTGCATCGGCAGGCGGACTCTCAACCACTGCGCCACCAGGGAAGCCCTGTGAGGCCTTTTTTAGCCACCATGTGGCATGCGGGATCTTAGTTCCCTGATCAGGGCTCAAACCTATGGCTCCTGCAGTGGAAGCTCAGAGTCTTAGCCACTGGACTGCCAGGGAAGTCCCTGTGAGGTCTTTTAAATTCCTGGCTGTTCATGGTCTCCAGGTGGATGAATATCACTCAGTGCATCAGAAGCTCAGTGCTGACATGGCTGATAATTCTAATCTGATCCGAAGTTTGCTGGTTCGAGCCGAGGATGCTCGTCTGATGAGGGACATGTGAGTATTTACCATGGCTATGACAGGTACGTGGTTGAAAGCATCAGCGATATGGAGTAACATCTCTCAGATGCTACTAGTAGGAGTGTAAATAGGTACAGAGACTTTGGAAAATAACTTGGCATCATCAGTAAAGTTGAAAATGTGCACACCCTATGACCCAGCAATTCTCCTGGTTTGTAACCTCGAGAAACTTGTGCATATAAACCAGATATTAGTTCAAGAATGTTCATAAAGGCATCGTTCATACGAACCCCAAAGTGGAAACAATCCATACTAATATAACTGATAAATTATGTCTGTACAGTGGAATACTACATGCAATGAGAATGCACGTATCTGGATGACATGTAACAACATGGACAAATCTTACAAACATAATGGAGATTGAAACAAGTAAGACTCAAAAGAATATGTACAAAATGCTTCCATTTATTTAGTTTGGAAACAGACAAAACTAAGCTATATCATTTGGGAAGCATACATAGATGATAAAAATATAAAGAAATTCAGGGAAGAGATTATCATTTAAGATAGTATATTCTCCTTGGGGAGGAGGGGACTCTATTGAGAGAGAACACATTGGGAAGCTTCTTGAATGTTCGGAATGTCCTATTTCTTGACCTAGTTAACAAGCATTTGTTTTGTGAGTTTTTCTGAATGTGTATTAAAATATATTTATTTATTTTTAATTTTTTTAAACTTTTGGCTGCATCAGATCTTAGTTGCAGCATGCGGGATCTTTTGTTGTGGCGCTCGGGCTTCTCTCTAGTTGTGGTGCGTGGGCTCCAGAGCACGTGGGCTCTGTAGTTTGCAGCATGCGGGCTCTCTAGTTGAGGTGCGTGGGTTCAGTAGTTGTGGTGTGAGGGCTTAGTTGCCCCGTGGCATGTGGCATCTTAGTTACCTGACCAGGGATCAAACCCATGTCCCCTACATTGGAAGGCAGATTCTTTACCACTGGACCACTGGGGAAGTCCCTGAATATGTATTATGTTTTAGAATAAAAAGTGAAAAACAGGGGCTTCCCTGGTGGCACAGTGGTTGAGAGTCCGCCTGCCCATGCAGGGGACACGGGTTCGTGCCCCGGTCTGGGAGGATCCCACGTGCCGCAGAGCGGCTGGGCCCGTGAGCCATGGCCGCTGAGCTTGCGCGTCCAGAGCCTGTGCTCCACAACGGGAGAGGCCACAACAGTGAGAGGCCCGCGTACCGCAAAAAAAAAAAAAAAAAAAAGTTAAAAACAAATTTGTGCACGTCTGGCTTCTTGCTAAGATGCAGAATTTATCTTGGCAATAAAATGTACTGAGGTGGATTCAGTAAAAGAGTTCACCAATGATAGGTGAAGTTTATGTGTGCATTTTAGAGGCAAGAGTTCGCCTAAGGTGCTGCTTGTTTTTTCCTGAAAGGCCTGAATCATTAGCAGATAGTTAAAATGGTCTTGCTCAGAAGTAAGTGATTTCTGAAAGTTATATTGTTGAAGATTTCAAACACAAAAGTAGATTGAATTATATAATGATTTCCTCTATAGCAGCTACTTAGCTTCAGTAGTCATCAACTAAGGGCTCATCTTGTTTCATCTCCACATTCACCTTCTTCCTCTTCTAGGTACTGTATTATTTTGAAGCAAATTCCAGACATCATATAATTTTAGCCACAAATATTTCAATGAACCTTTAAAAAACAATAACCACAATACCATTATCACACTTAGAAAAATGTAAAATAATTTCTTAATATCACAAAATATCTAGTCGGTGTTTAAAATTTCCCCAGTTGTCTCAAATGTATGTGCGTGTGTTTGGTGTTTTAAGTTGTTTTGTTCAAATCAAGATTCAAAGACCAAAGACCATGCACTGTATTTGGTTGATAAATCTCTTTTAATCCATATATTTGCTTGCTCACTTTTTCTCCTCTCTCCTCCTTCTGTAGTTTCCCACCTTGGATTTTGTTGATTGTATCCTGTGGTAATGTTTAGTATTATTCTTCTGTCCCCTGTATTTCTGTGAAAATGGTAGTTAGATATAGAGGATTGATCAGGTTCAAGTTTTTAGCAAGAATGCTTCATAAGTGGTGCTGTGTACTTCTGTGAGGATGCATGTAACGTCTGGCTGTCTCTTTTTATTATGTTATCAGCTGTTGATGATCACTGCTGAAATCAATGATTTCTTCTGGGGTTTGCAAAATAGTGATATTTTAATTGTTATTTTTTCTTTGTAACTTGGCTGAAGTACTTCTATAAAGAGTAACATTCCCTCATGAATTAATGAATTATTTGGTTCCCTGAGGTACAGTTTGTACTGGAATGACACACTATCAGCTTTAAAATAATGAGTTGGTTTGCTAGCATCTCCAAGTTGACCAATGAGTTTTAAAATCCTATTAACATTTTTAATGTGCTTCAGGCCATTTCAGTTATTCTTTATGGTGGCTCAGTTGTCTTGTCTTTGGCCAGTAGAAGCCTTTTCAGGTTGGCTGCAGTTATCAATACCTTTGGACAGACCTATTAGTTTCATTAGTTTGTTTTCTTGTACAAGATTTTTTAGGCTTATCTGGTATATATCCTCTTCTGAATCTGGAATCAGCTATTTCTTCAATCCTGGTCCTTTATAGTGGGAAATGAAGATCATAGTCTGAGCATTAGAGATGCTCACTGCTACTGGGTTGGATATTGATTTGAGACCTTTTCCACAGATAAAGCTAGGTAATGTATATATTTTTTTCAATGAGCAAATATATCATGAATTCATACTATTTCCACTTCAAATTTAGGAATACAGGCTCTTATTTAATTTTGATGTTAATGGTGTATCTCTTCTCTCTCACATTGGAAATCATGTCTCTAACCACTGTCAACATAACTATTGGCTTTATCTTACGGTACACACACAACATTTAAGGATAATATCAACATTACTGTCAACAATATGATTGCTGAAAATGGTGTAAGACTTTTTTTCTAGTTCTTTGTGTCTTTAGAGTGTGTTCTAGTAGGGACTTTTAGTCAAATGACTATTTTAAAGTCATTTGAAATAATTCCTCTTTTTTTGGTCATGCTACAAGTGTGATACACAGTTAGATTCATTTGGTTCATTTTGCTGTCAATCTTAGGGGATTGACATTTTTTCCTTTTTGGTTTGATTTTATTACATATTTATTAAAACCTTATTTGGGGGCTTCCCTGGTGGCGCAGTGATTGAGAGCCCGCCTGCCGATGTAGGGGACACGGGTTTGTGCCCCGGTCTGGGAAGATCCCATATGCTGCAGAGCGGCTGGGCCCGTGAGCCATGGCCGCTGAGCCTGTGCGTCCGGAGCCTGTGCTCCTCAACGGGAGGGGCCACAATAGTGAAAGGCCCGCGTACCGCAAAAAAAACCCCACAAAAAACAAACAAAAAAAACCTTATATGGGTCCAAAGTCGGCCCTATAAAACATGTGCAGAAAAGTTTAACTTCTCTTTCCTGTCACCTCCATCCTGTTTCCTCCCTTTCACTATAAATATAACCAATCAAGAATTTAAATATACATACACACATCTCCTCACATGGTAAGTAAATCATAGCAAATTACTCTTCTCCACCTTGCTTTTTTTTTTTTTTTTGCGGTATGCGAGCCTCACACAGTTGCGGCCTCTCCCGTTGCAGAGCACAGGCTCCAGACGCGCAGGCTCAGCGGCCATGGCTCACGGGCCCAGCCGCTCCGCGGCATGTGGGATCCTCCCGGACCGGGACACAAACCCATGTCCCCTACATCGGCAGGCGGACTCCCAACCACTGCGCCACCAGGGAAGCCTCCACCTTGCTTTTTACACTTAAAAATATATCTTGGAGTTCATTCCACAGTAGTGCACAGATACTTCTCATGTTTTGCAGCTGCGCAGTGTACTCTGTTCTCTGGATGTTTGTTCAGCTAGTTGTCTACATTTGGGTTGCTCTTCTGCTATTACATTGCAGTGAATAATTTTGTTACATAAATCTTTTCATATTTTTACTCAGGTATCTTTGGGGAAAAGTTCTGAAATGGGATTGCTGGGGAAAATGATAAATGTGTATAGTTTTGCAAGATTTTGCCAAATTCCCCTCCATAGCTGTCATATCATTTTGCATTCTCCTCTGAGAGTGCCTATTTCCCTTAGTCTTGTCAATGGAGTATGTTGGCAAACTCTTGAATACTTACCAATTCAGTGGGTGAGAAATGGTCTCATTGTTGTTTTAATTTTCATTTATTTTATTATGAGCAGTACTGAGCATCTTTTCATTATTTTAAGGGCTTATCTCCGTTTCTTTTGGTGTGTAAATTCTTTTTTTTTTTTTTTCTTTTGGCCACGCCAGGCAGCATGAGAGATCTTAGTTCCCCAACCAGGGATCGAACCCGTGCCCCCTGCAGTGGAAGCTTGGAGTCCTAATCACTGGACTGCCAGGGAATTCCCTGTAAATTATTTCTTTTGCCTATTTAGATTTTTGGTTTTGCTTATAAAAGCTTTTAAAATTTTTTAATGTAGTCAAATTGATCCATCTTTTCCTTGGTAATTCTACATTTTGAGTTCTAGTTACAAAAGTTTCCTTCCCATTTGTAGAGAAATTCTTTTAGTATTTTGTATATTTACATTTAAGTCTGTTACAGTTGGAGTTTATCCTGGTGTTCAGTGTGTTATAAATTCAGTTTTATCTTTTTCTATGTGACTGTCACATTGTTTCCGTAATACTACTTTAAAAGCCTGTTTTCCCACTGATTTGAGATGCTGCCTTTATAATAATATAATGTATTTCCATATGCAGTGGGTCTATTTCTGGATTTTCTATATTGCTCTATCCGTCCGACTTGTCTCATTTGACAGTGCGATTCTTTTCTTAAAAATGCTTTGTATGAGAGACCTACTGGAGAACAGACTTGAGGATATGGGGAGGGGGAAGGGTGAGGTGTGTTAGGGCGAGAGAGAGACATGGACATATATATACTAACAAACGTAAGGTAGATAGCCAGTGGGAAGCAGCCGCATGGCACAGGGAAACCGGCGCGGTTTTTTGTGGCTGTCTGGAGGGGTGGGATAGGGAGGGGGGGAGGGAGGGAGACAAAGAGGGAAGAGATATGGGAACATATATATATGTATAACTGACTCACTCTGTTATAAAGCAGAAACTAACACACCATTGTAAAGCAATTATACCCCAATAAAGATGTTAAAAAAAAAAAAAATGCTTTGTATGTTTTAATGTCTGGTATGGCTAGGTGCCCCTCTCCCAACCCTTTTGCTCTTCTTTTTCATGGTTTTCCGGGCTACTCATGCTTGTTTGTTCTGTGAACTTTATCAGTTATTTTAGCTCCAGAAAAAAGTAGGTAGTTTTACTGGGATCACATTAAATTTATTAACTTAGGAAGAACTGACGTTGTTACAGTGATGTTCAGTCTTACTAAGAATGCGGTATGTCTTTATATTTTGTTCAAGGCATGTTTATGTGTTTCAGGAGTTTTATGGTTTTGTTCATGTAGGTATCAGACAGTACTTGTCAAGTTTAGGTGTAGGTATTTTCTTTTTGCAGTTGTAAATAGGCTCTTTCTTCCACATTATATCTAACTGGTTTTTTGTTTGTATGAACACTGGATTTTTCTGTGTTGATTTTGTAGTCTTCTGCTTTACTGAATTATCGTATAGTTTAGTTTTGCCACACGTACACTGTATTATTTGTAAATTGAGATAGTTCTGCCTCTTTCCAGTTCATTTTCTTCCAGTTGTTTTCGCTGAGGTATATAAGATTTTTGCTCTTTTTGCCAACTTTATCTATAGGGCTCCTCCTTTTTTTCTCTCTCTGGCTTTTTTTTTTTTTTTTTAAGTGAAAGAGATGTTGCTGGCTTTAGGCATTTGACTGTGCTAAACTGGAGAGAGGTGACCATCAACCTCTAAATTCCTTTTTTCTTGATTTATTTATATTTCATTTAGAGACTATCCGATATACATTGTATTTTTTAAAACCAGGTTAGTTGATATGTAATTTATAATATACATGTAGATAATTCACCCTTTTTAGGTTTACAGTTCAATAAATTTGGGGAAATTTATACTACCAGAATCAAGTACCTCTCCTAACCTCCAGGCCCTGGCAGCCACTGATCTAATTTCTCTTCCTATAGTTTTACCTTTTCCTAAATGTCATATAAATGGAATCATACAAATATATAGCCTTTTGGGTCTGGCTTCTTTCACTTACTGTAATGCCTTTGAGATTCATCCATATCGTTGCAAGTTATCAGTAGTTCATTCCGTATTATTGCTGAATAGTATTCTATTGTATGGATATCCATACTTAGTGTATCCATTCACCAATTAATTGACATTTGGGTCGTTTCCAGACTTTGGTGATTGAGAATAAAGCTGCTATAAACGTTTGCATACAGGTTTCTTGCCGACATATTTTCATTTCTTTTGGGTGAAATGTGGCATAATGTGATTGCTGTGTTGTATAGTAAGTGTATGTTTAACTTTACAAGAAACTGTCAGGATTAATCTGAAGCTTGGAAGATAGCCTATCACCTTACTCACTTTTCCCCACCCCTCATATCTTGGGCATGATAATTCTTGGTTCCTAAGTTCAAACAAACCATGGATCAATAACCAAGGAAGGCCACTTGTCTTCCATTTATTTGGAGGAAGCAGAGTATTTCATAGAAAATTCTCAATGTTTTCAAAGCAGACTTTAGCAGTTACCCTGTTTGAATGACAATACAGCTAAAAATCTGGTTTGTTCCTTTTTTTAATGTCTAAGAAGTTTGCAAGTCTTTTCATTTAAGCCTGCCATACTGAGGTACAGTGGTGTTAAATTTCTCTTGATGTACACAGGAGAACAATGAAGAATCGCTATATGGAACTATATGACCTTAATAAAGACTTGCTCAATGGATATAAAATTCGCTCTAACAATCACACAGAGCTGTTGGGAAGCCTCAAAGCAGTAAATCAAGCGATTCAAAGAGCAGGTCGTCTACGTGGTAAGTCTCTTTTTGTAGCACTGTATTTCGTCTGTAATTTTGGGGTGAGAACCATTGAAGAGGGTGGTAGCTTCAAGAATTCGTATCAGGGCTTGTATCTATAAAGATGCCTTTCATACTGAAGTTAGCACCGTTCACTTGAGTTGCAGTCAGCCTATTGTTTGGCTTTAGTCTGCAGACTTCAGAGGGAAAGAACGCTTTCAGCTCCTTTTCTTAGATCTTGCTGCATCCTCTAAAGAAAAACCTAGTGACATATACTCAAGAGGAAAGCCTTAAATACTCCTATTAGAAAAAAACAAAAAAGACTGAAAATTAATGAGTTAAGTGTCCAACTTAAAATTTACAAAAAGAACAACAGAATAAACCAAAGGAAGCAGAAATATCAGCCAGAGATTTATACTTGGAATCTGCTGTTTTGGGTCAGTGCTTTGACCTCCTTTTATAGAAAAGGATCAAGGCTCATATCCACTTAGCAAAGATTATTTCTAAAACTGACTCTTGGTTTCTAGGTGTGAGATAGTTTCTAAGCTTGGTTTGTGTTTGTGATAAAGTCCCTTCCAAGGGTATGTATCTTTTTTAGGGAATGGTAAGATAAATTGGTTAAATTTGTACTTACCTATAACTCTTTTCTACCCTAGTTTTATGTTGTTTTTATAGTTAGTCTCTGATTCATAATTTTACTTTTATTTTTTATTTTTATTTTTTTTGCTGTACGCGGGCTTCTCACTGTTGTGGCCTCTCCCGTTGCGGAGCACAGGCTCCGGACGCGCAGGCTCAGCGGCCATGGCTCACGGGCCCAGCTGCTCCGCGGCATGTGGGATCTTCCCAGACCGGGGCACGAACCCGTGTCCCCTGCGTCGGCAGGTGGACTCTCAACCACTGCGCCACCAGGGAAGCCCCATAATTTCACTTTTAATAATCTTTTGGCTCATATGGATTTGATGTTTCTTCTCTTACAGTTGGAAAACCAAAGAACCAGGTGATCACTGCTTGTCGGGATGCGATTCGAAGCAACAACATCAACACGCTGTTCCGAATCATGCGGGTGGGGACAGCTTCTTCATAGGAGAGGAAAATAGGTAACTAGGTTGCTAGAAGGGGTTTTTCCTTAAACTTCTAGGCTGGTTTGCTTTGGATCACATCCTGGTGAACCCAAGGTGCTGAGAGCAAAAACCACCTTGGTCAGTTGTACAGATGAAAGACAAAGCGTTGCATCTGAAAAGTATATTCACTTTCTTTCTTTTAAAATCAGTAGTACTGTTGCAGAATACACTAGGTTTGTATGGAGGGAAATGAATACTTTTGAAACATTAGGGCTTCAAAGTCCAGTTTTTCTGTATGTATGTAAAGTCAGTGTGTAGATGCATCTTTTTTCTTGAAATTGTAATTAAAGTAGATGATCTACTTTTTCATTAAAATTTAAAGGTGTTGCACTATGTGTTTACTGATTGTAAAATCACATCAGAATTGCATAAAACCATTTGTGTTATGTGGAGAAAAACAAAAATATGGATATTCAATTTGTGCCTTTTTTAAACCTCACGTCATTTTATTGAATATATACTTATTAAGAACTTATTTACGGTAGGAATGTTCTAGACTTTGGTCCAAAGATATATAATTCTCTGTATAACAAAAAAACGTTTGGAATTTTCAGAGCTGAATGTGGAGACGTGAGAGTGAAGTCTAATGCAATTATGGAGGTTTGGCTCAGAATATCTGTTCCAGTTTTCTTCTAGTGTGACTTCCCTTTCCTGTGAAGAGCAGGAAGCTAAAACAGAAGTTTCTCCAATTCGTTTTCAGCTGGTGATTCAGGTTTGATTCAGCTTGCATTTCAGATGCAATCACATGAGACTTGAAATTTGAACTGAGATAAATGGGGTATCGGGCATGTATTTGATCAGTATGGATTATAGCAAATGTAGCGTGGTTCTGGAGCCAAACTCTGTCTCTGAGGCTTGCCGATGTAGCAGAAATAGATTCTGGGTAGTAGAAAAGCTGGCATGACTGGGGGACCTTGAAGCTAGAGTGGCAGCTTCCTGGTTTTGAACCTGAGGTTTCCTGAATGCAGCACTGTGATGCTGTTCTGGAACCTGTAAATGGTAGCTGATTTAGTGGCTCAGCCTGAGGCAGTCCTATGTTTATATATGCAGTAAAGGGTGCCTCCTGGTTTCACAAGCAGCTTCCTGATCTGGCAGGAGCAGCTACTTTGGCAGCCTGGTTCTGCAGTACAGACTTGAGAAAAGATTCTGGAATTGCATCCTACAGGTTTTTATTCGACAGCCTTAATAATTCTGTAAGCCATCTGGCAGGCTGTAATCCTTTTATTCAAATTGTCTTGTGAGGAATCTGTTCTCTGCATCAGAATACTGACCTGTATGAAAACCCAAAGAGACTATAGAGAACACAGGCCTTTCCTCTGTGGTAAATTAATTTCATAGTTTCCTCCGTCTGGCCATTTAGGATCACCTCTTCTATTTCTGAAATATGAGCTTTAAGGAGCCCTAATTTTTATGAGACTGTTATGCCCCTCTAATACCTTTGTTTTGCATTTTCAACCTGTAAGCTCAAAAGACATCCACATATAGTATATTATCTTCAGTAATCTCCAAAGTAGTCATCTTTTATACCTGCTTCAAAGATGAAGAAACCAAAGCGCAGGGATTAATTACTTGCCAGAGCCACAGAGCCACTGGCAAGACGCAAGTCCCACCGTGGGGTCTTTTTCTGTTTTAGCCATAGTCTAACTTACACCCTTTGAGATTAAAATCTCTAGTTGGTGCTGGTTTTAAATTGTATGGCATTATTCATTTTTAGGGACCCTTAAAGAATCATCTCATTAAAGGTCATTCTGTTGTATTTCAGCCCCAAAACTTCTTTCTTACACCTAAAAATATTCATGGACAAGGCTTGAAGGAGTCGACCTACAGCAAGATTATTTTTTATAGCCCTGATTTATAGATTACAAATAGGTTATTTTCACATTAATTTAATCCTCTTGGTATTAGTATCTCTGAGCTCAGACAGGCAGAATGTTTTCTACAGGGTCCTAGAGTTTGGTTAAGTCGCAGTGTAGAAGTTGGAAACCAAGTAGTCATGGCCCTTTCGGCTATTTCAGACTGCTGCCAAGTGAGTGAAGACTAGGTGAGATGAAAATGTTCATAGTATTCATCCTTTTTATCCTCTTAGAAGTCATGTTCAGCTTAGGGAAGAGAAAAACTGATTGGTTATCAGCTCCTTCTCTATTTTGTTGCCATATTTTTCTGTCCTGATAGAATCTGAGTGCCTTCTACAAGTTACAGCTTAAGCTCTATTTTGTTGCTGAATTTTGTTGAAGCTTTAAGTGAACACTCTGCCTTCATTTAAAAGCTGATCTTGAGGATTCTGGTATCTGGGAGAAAGCTTTTTAGTCATTTTTAAAGCATCCCTTTTAAAGTCACCCCCCTTATCCCTAGATTCAAGTATTCAATATTTTAGAGAGAGTATGGTCTTTATTCTTTCCCACCGTGTCTGCCTGTTCAAATACTACATCAAGGCTCAGTTCAAATGCTCTCTCAGGAGACCTTTCCTCTCCCATGTCTATTCTTTAACCCTTATTACATTCTGTGTTTATATAAATCTTAATCCCCGATTAAGTGAGAACAGGGGCTAGGTCTTAATCAGCTTTGTCCTCCCCATGGTGCTAAGCCAGTGCCTTGAGCGTAGAGAAGCATCTGCTGCCCCCCATGGAAGTGTTTGTCCTCAGTAAGCCTGTCAGTGGCTTCAGAAATCAAAGAACTAGGAACTTTACAACTATTATGCAACCCTAGAAGTACTTTACAAGAATGATTTTCAACATTATTAACATTTCAAATTTTATAATTAGCAGTTACCAATCTGCCAGTGCAGAGTCCTGTGATCACAAAACTAAATTATCTCGTTTCACTTTGACACTAAAGTACAGTAAGACACCCATTGCAGCCTGGTGTTTTGCATTTTTGCCTCTTCCCTGTCTGGCCCCTGCCCACACTATATGCTCTAGCTGATGAGTCATCTTTTTATTTGTGTGGTAAAGAAATGTGCTGTTCCTGGGCTTCCCTGGTGGCGCAGCGGTTGAGATTCCGCCTGCTGATGCAGGGGACGTGGGTTCGTGCCCCCGGTCTGGGAGGATCCCATGTGCCGCGTAGCGGCTGGGCCCGTGAGCCGTGGCCGCTGAGCCTGCGCGTCCGGAGCCTGTGCTCCGCAGTGGGAGAGGCCACAACAGTGAGAGGCCCGTTTACAGCAAAAAAAAAAAAAGAAAAATGTGCTGTTCCTGACATGAAGCCACACGGGTAATTTCCAAGTAGTTTTCAAAATTGTCTATGTGGACTGATTTTTTTCAGTCAGAGAAGGAATTATCTGTTTTTGTAGGAATGTACAGTTCACTCAGGCTGGAGAGCCTGCCGCTGATACCGTTCTATCAGGGACTCTTTTAACAGGGTTTGATTTTCTCATTCAGTTGTAGTAGTGGCCAATATGTAATGGTACTGAAGAGGTACCGCAGCCGAAACTTACTTGCTGAGGAAATGCTGGTCTGGGAGAGGCAGCCCAAGCATTGATTTTTTTTTTCAGTATTCTATGGGAAAGAAACACCACATTCAGAGGCGTTTGAGGCAGTCAATGAGCTGTAGAAAAGCCAGGTTCAAAACCTAACAGCCTCTTTCTCTCCTAGGTTTCGTTTCATTTTTCTACATCTTTAAGTGAGGGACTGAAATTAGATTTATAGGGTTCTTCCTTAAATATTTTATTTTTCCTTTGCTTAACAGAAATACTAACATGCTTTCAAAGTAACTTTCTGAAAATGTTCTTATTTACATAATGGTTAACATGATAAGGGGAATGTGTCATGGGGACTGGACCTTACACGACTGTAGGAAGTGGCAAAGTGTAGTCTGTCAGTTTTCTAGTCTGATGCTGGAGCTTGAAGCCCACAGGACAGGCAGTCAGAAAGGATGCAGAGTTGGGAAGAACAGGAACAAGCTGGAACCCAGAGGCATGAGCTGGAGCCCACAGGGACACATTAAAATCTCAGTTCTTGCCTCTGACCTTGATGGTGTGGGGAGACCCTTCATCAGAGAAGCTGAAGGAAGAGCCAGGGACGGTGGAGCAGTTGCAGGCGCAGACGTGGAATCACACTGAGGTGAGCCAGCAGGTAAGCTACAGTGTGTGTGAGCTACAAAATGGCTACTGCTTCATCCTGGCCCTCCATATCTCACACAAGAATGTGTGGCTCATGCTGACTGGAAACAGAGGGGAGGGAGTGCTGGGAAATGTAGTTCAGTCTAGCCAAGCTGATATATCACATAGCACACAGCGGCTATCACAGTATGGTGGGATTCCAGGTGACCTTTACTTCATATTTTTACATGTTGTGTTCTTCACAACAAACATGTATTATATAGATAATCTAAAAAATATATATAAAGCTATTTGGGAAAAAAAATCTTCCTTTATTAAAAGGAATTATAAGAATTAAGAGATGACATGTTTTACAGGTGAATATCATAGCTTTTCTCTGCAAGAAGTATAAAAAAGATGCCCGTGTTTTAATTCCTCTGTTGCTACTTAACAGTTGTCAACATCGGCTCTAGGCCCTAAAAGCCAAGATGAAGAATGAAATGCTGAGGAAAAGCAACTTCTTCATCACTGGGTACCTTCAGTGGAGAAAACTGACCTGCGAGTTACCCCATCCTTCACAGTCTAAGAGGTACCACTGTAAATGGTGTAACTAACAGCAGCACCGCAGTCTGGCTCTCAGGGATTCTTTCCCCTTGGACACCAGAATCCTTTTTTGTAGTGTGTAGACGATTCTGCTGTGTTGACAGACCATAAACACACTGAGATTGAGGAGAATGTAATAAACACATTTTCATGCTTGTGTAGGATGCTACGACTTAGACTCAGTGCTCCAGAACTCTTAGATGTTACCTACAACCATAAGTCTCAAACTTTTCTAAGCTTGGCACACATGGTGGTTTCACCTGCTCAGCCCTATTCCCTGGGGCTTCCTGGGGTTATGCCACTAAGGTGTTAACTAGAACTTCACCCCTCTTGCTGGCACTTAACAAAAACACATCAGAAAGCAAGTGAGTGAAAGTAATATTATAGGGATGACTTTCAGTCTGCAGGAACTTAAAAGACAAGCTTTGAAATTTAAACCCTTAGTAACAGAGTAGTACTTGTAATCCCACTTGAGTGTCACTACACTATGGTTAAAAAACTCCCCAAAACAGTATGCATGTAAATGGTCCCCCCCATGTTGGTGGGGAAAGACAATATGAGAACTAGTGTTAGGTATTTCTTTTTAGCTCAATTTTTAAAAATTAGTGTTTGTTTTATAACAACTAATACTGAATATTAGTACATGTGTAAAATTTATAGATAAATATCCATATAATGAGCATGCATGCTAAAACTTTTTTTTTACTGATTGAGGTACAAGATCAAAATTTTGAAACCATCAACATAAAAGAAAGTGCAACTCATTTTTTTCATTTAAGTTCAAATTTCAGTACTCAAAGTTTTAGGAGATAAAAAAAGATAAAGCCAAATGCTTTTCCTATTAATGAGTAAAATCCAAAATAAAAGCTACTGCAATAGCTAATAATACACGTAAAAAAAGAGGAAGTTAACAGGGAGACAGCACTGGAATGGAATGAGAATAGCATCTTTCAACTAAAGATGCATGACACCTTACACCTATCCATGCACGCCCATGCACATGGGTAGCAGTTATTATATAATCCCCTTGAACAGTTCAGGGGAAAAAGAATGTAACAAAATGGACAGGTCTTGGCATTTTGCCATGGTCTTTAGTATTTGGTCTCTTCAAGAAAGGCAAACTAGTCTGATAGTTGACCCTACAATATTTAGGAAATGAAAGCCGTATGTGAGATTAGAAAATCATTTAGTCATAGTGGAGGCACAACTCCAGGATGGAAGAGCAGTGGGAACCTGAAAACTACTGCATATCTTCTTTACTGACCAGAAGTTTCTTGTGGCCATGTGGTTTTAGGCCAGGCTTTTCCCAAGGGAACAGACTACACATTGCCTAGTTCTCTACAGTCCACAGAGAGTCACAGTGGAACAAAGCCATAGGCAGTGGGAGGAAGTGCAATGGGCCCAGAATGAACAGGGTGTAAGGTTCTGTAATCTTCTAAACCAGTGAAATTAGGAAGGACAGAATCTGCAGTCATAAATTCTTGAGTCCATATTTAAAAAAAAAAAGTCAATCACTGGAAACATGAATGAACCTTGAAGATTTTATGCGGAGTGAAATAAGCCAGTCGCAGAAGGACATTCTATTATTTGTCTTCTGAGGAATATGAGTTGTCAGATTCATAGAGACAGAAAGTAGAATGGTGGTTGCCAGAGGCTGGGGTGAGGGGAAAGTATAGAGTTACTATTTATTTGGGACAGGTACAGCTGGGTAAGATGGAAGAGTTCTGGTAGATGGATGGTGGTGAAGGCTGCACAACAATGTGTATGTACTTAATGCCACTGAACTGTACACTTGAAAAAGATACATTTTATGTCACGTATATTTTACCACATACTGTTTTTTAATCACTGAAGAAGCCAATATGGAAAATGAACTGAATGTTAAAGAAAAAGACAAAACCCCTTTTTATTTTACATCAAGAGATAAGTACCTAGCTCCAATCTCAAGGTCTAGATTGAGGATGATCATTATGAGCCCTACTAAAGGACAACCACACACAGTTTTAAGAACGCTGTCACACAGCTCACCTTGTAGCTCTCCTTCACTCGATGCCTAACTCTTCCAGATGTCCCAGTACTGAGGAAGGGTCTCCTCTTTCCAGCTTTGCCCAACCTTATTCATAATAGACAAATGAAAAGTCCCAGAAACCTGTTCTGTTTGGGAAAGTTTTCTTTTGTTCTAGGCTTCGATGGTTAATATGCTTGACGAATTTCAGAGTTTCCCTATCTCTGTAGACCAATGCCAAAGAATTGTTTTCTGGATTCACTGTTAGCAGCTGAAATAGGCAAATACAGTGATACATCAGAACACGGAGATTATTCTCACCTCTTTTCTTAAACAGACGGTTCCATATCAAATACTCAGCCTCCGGCGATAGAGGATCCTTTAAAGTATCCTTTACTAGGAGGAGCTATTGATCTTGCTGTCCAGACATTTTCAAATAGGCCCCATTCCGGTACATACCCAGAAAAGTTTTACCTAATGCATTTATTTCTTACTACATTGAAAGATTCATGGGAATGCACCATCTGACTCTTAATTTATTTGGAATTTCTTTTAGCTGGGTAGAATGCTTAGTGATTATCCTTTAGCCTCTTTATTCCATGCTGAATACTTTCTACTAGAAATTAGAACCACTGCCAGCCAGACCAATGTGGATTTATCAGCTAAAGACACTGGCAGAAGGTCGAAAAAGTTGCATCTCTGAAGAATCAAAGGGTCTTCAAGAACTAAAAAAAGATGGTTTGCTATCAGAAACAACTTACCTCTTCATCTTCTCCTTTGGCAATGTAGGAGGTAAAGCCACCATACTCTGGCTCCCAGCCTTATGAAGGGAAAACAAAGAGCATTCAGAAAGCTCTCACTGCAAGAGTTACATCATCTGTTTGAATCATTGATCCCATGCTGCTTAAAACGGGGATCTGGGAGTTCAGTAGAACCAACTCTGACTTATGAGCCTGAATTTATCGTTCAACCAACACTGAATAAGAACTGAAAACTAAGAACTAAATATAAAATACACCTAGAAGGACAATTACATAAAAGCTCTGGGGGGTTCATTAGATGGAAATTATGATTTAGTTCATCTCCTATACCTTGGTCACAGATACAAATAGTACTTTGAGTTGGGAGATGACTGAAATTCATGACCCCTAAGATCCCTTCTAGCAGAGCTCCTGTGATCTGAGATCCTGGCCAAGGCGAATTACTTGTGAACTGGTTCAGTTAGAGAGGGTCACTCAGGAGAGACTGTCCCGCTTACCTTCACAGCCACAGTAGAGAAGTAAGTCCAGGGCAAACTCAGTCTTGCTGTTGTCATGGATTAAAGTGTAGTGACCAGTATTCCAATGCCTCAGTTCCCCCTGGCATGTTGGAACACTGGATTCTAAGAAAAAAACAACAGAAGGCCAGAAAAAAATAACCTTGATACCACTGTAGATTGCAAAAGAATGATAATTAAGAATAGTTGTAGCACTAAAGAGAAACTATTTCCATAAACCTTTAGCTGACCTGCTCCATTATATTATTAAATATATAAGCCTTATAATGAAAAAAAGTTGACTTTCTATTTCTCTTTACCATGATTTTCAGATGGACTATATATTTAGCTGCCAGAAATTTTCTTTAAAATAACATGAATATTATTAAATAAACTTTACCTTTTAGAGCAGTTTACAGAAAAATTAAATTTCCCAGAAAGTACAGTTCCTCTACTGCCACACACAACCCCTGCCCCTCCCCATCAGTTTCCTCTATTATTAACATCTTGCCTTAATGTGATTTATGTGTTACAACTGACCAATACTGATGCATTATTAACTGAAGTCCACAGTTTACATTAGGGTTCGCTCTTGGTGCTGTACATTCTACTAGTTTAATATCATGTGTCCATTCCATCTTGTTTGTAGATGATTAAACATCCTCTGCTTTTAATAATTTCCTTCTACCTATTTGTCCAAATTCAAGCAAGTTTTCCTTAGGCTGATATTTGGTTCTTAGCAGAAAGAAGCCACTCACCTTCCTCTTCTTTATGTTCTTGTGTTTTAAAGTAGGTTTAGATAAAGCCAGTCGTATTTCTCTCCACCAGTTGTACTACTGTTAGCCTAATAAAATGTACTAGCTGTTCTTCCTACCCGGAGTGGTGTCCTAGCAGATCCTTCTTGTCATTCAGATCTGAGCTTGGACGACAGCTCCTCAGGCCGGTCCAGATTGCCCATTCACCTAAGAGGCCACCCAGTCATTCCTCAGCACATAACCCTATTCAGATTTCCTGCAGAGCCCGTATCCTCATTTGATGTTTTCTTGTTGTTCGTGTATCATTTAATCTCTGTTCTCCCCTACTATCTATAGACTATAAGCCAGGGAGACCAGAGACCTTGTCTGTCTTCTTCTCCAGCTCCAGAAATAGGGCCTAGCATATAGTAGGTGCTTAAGAAATGTTTGTTGAATGAATAAATGACTCAATCGTGAATATGTAATAGTGAAAGAAGGACAGAACGTAACAGCAGCTTACCTTTCTTTGCATCGTTTTCCTCTGGCTCTGGGTCCGTCTGTTCATTGCTCTGCTGACTGCTGTTGCTGATGGCCGCCCGCCTGCTCTCTGGCTCAGAACTGCGGCTAGGCCCTTCTTCAGTGTTCTCAGCAGCAGAGGCTGCTTCTCCCTCTTTTTTGTCCTCAAGCTCACCTTCTTCTGAAGGGGCCAAGAAGTGAAGTTTCAGGCCTGTGAAGTTGGAGAGCAGCAAGAACATTGCCTCGGAGTGAAATAATGCCATGCAGTCCTTCAAGATGTCGGGAAGTTTGCTCTCCTCAGCCTTCTCGTAAAACCTGGAAAGCAGCGATGCCAAGGTGTTCATCAAAGCCACAGATGTAATATTACTCAGGGGAAGAAAGCTGATCATTAGCTTTGTATCTCTCTCCCTAAACCTTGCATAGCTTACTAACGTCCAAGTTGTTACAATAATGAGGTTTTGTTAGGGCCTGCTACTGGATGTCCCTGGGAACAAAACATCATTAGGGCAAATGCCCTATTGGAGGTGAGCCTTGCAGACAAACAGGCAGGTGTTGAATGCAGAAGCAAATGTCTTGGATGATGGGTTCTACCTTTTGTTAGGGGGACCTCGGCTGCTCCATTCCACATCTCCTTTCTCCAAAGCCTCACACACCTCTGCAAATTTTTCAGGCTGGAAAAGGAGCAAATGAAGCAGCAGTTAGCAGATCTCCCTATGATCCCACACTGGTCTTGCAGGTACAGCAGCTCTGCGGAATCATGCTGGCTGATTCCTAAAAGGGCCAGGTGACTCTCATCCCTTTCACACAACCTCCCCCAGTCCTGATACGCTGAAGCCAGAGCAAAGACTGGATAAATCCGTCAGCATGCTTTAGCCAAGTCACCTGAGTGTCAGTTTGGGCCATTTCCTTAAGTAGCTGTATGTCTTAGGTCAAACTGCTAAACCTCTCAAATTCCTGCATTTATTATAATGAAAATGTCTATATAATAATACAGATTCTTTAGGCCTCAGCTCATTCCCTTGATTTAAACAGCATTCTAAACTAAAAAAGTCCAGTGTAGTACAAGAAGCTGATTAATCTGTTAAAATATTCTCCATAAGAGCCTTTATAAGTGCGTGCTTAATGCAGTTTCCCAAGGAGTATTCTACAAACAGTAATCCTATCAGTTGTAAAACAGGAAAGAGGATCCCAAAGGATGGTTTAGGTGAGCTGAATTAAATAGGGTTAAACACGTTTATTTACTGTTAATACTTCTCAAATTCCTTAATATGCTATGTCAGCTATATAATTCGGAGAGAGAGGCAGTATGTAGTGTCTCTCAACCTTTTTTTTCAAGGAGGCACCAACTCTTGGGACTGATTCCATGGGACCCAGAGTCACCTGGGAAAAACCACACTCTACGTGATCTCATTTGGCCCTCAAAACAACTCTTCAAGATGGGCAGGGCAAGTATTATCCCAGTTTAACTGATGATGAAATAAAAGTGAGACCTTAGTAATTTGCTCAGGTCAGTAAAACCATGGAGCCAAGACGTGAATATAAAGTCTTCTAGGGCTTCCATGGTGGCGCAGTGGTTGGAAATCTGCCTGCCAATGCAGGGGACACGGGTTCAATCCCTGGTCCGGGAAGATCCCACATGCCACAGAGCAACTGAGCCTGTGCGCACCACAGCTACTGAGCCTGCACTCTAGAGCCCACGAGCCACAACTACTGAGCCCGTGCTCCACGACAAGAGAGGCCACCACGGTGAGAGGCCCACGTACTGCAGGGAAGAGTGGCCCTCGCTCTCTGCAACTAGAGAAAAGCCCACGCACAGCAAAGAAGACCCAACGCAGCCAAAAATAAATTTATTAAAAAAAATAAAGTCTTCTAACTTCTAACCTAGTTCTCTCTCCACTATAATGTGCTACCTCATCATTCTCAAACATCTGTTACTAATTTGTTAATCAGTAATCTTTCTATTATTTAAAAGTAATTGGTAAGTACCATAGTCATCAAATGACTAGGATGGGAACTACACACCACTCATCCCCAATACAGAAGTGTGTGTGTGTGGGACTTCCCTGGTGGTGCAGTGGTTAAGAATCCACCTGCCAATGCATGGGACATGGGTTTGAGCCCTGGTCCAGGAAGATCCCACATGCCACAGAGCAACTAAGCCCGTGCACCACAACTACTGAGCCTGTGCTCTACAGCCTGCGTGCCTACAAGAGAAGCCACTGCAATGAGAAGCCCACGCACCACAACGAAGAGTAGTCCCCACTCACCGCAACTAGAGAAAGCCCCCATGCAGCAGTGAAGACCCAGTGCAGCCAAAAATAAATAAATAAAATAATTTTTTAATAAAAGTGTGTGTGATTAAGATTCTAGAGAACTGGGGAATACCCAAGGGACTCGACCCACTAACATACGACTGATACCAATGTTAGCTATTATCATCATTTCTATACTTTATTTGAAGAAAAGGATGATGTAAACATGCTAACCAGGAACAAAACAAAAAGCAACAAAAACTCTTAGTGATGCCTCTTCACCCACCCAGGAAGCAAGGCTGCATGCCAAATGTGGTATATCAGACAGGATTTGCTGGCCTACCTTAAGGAACTCTTTTAGGAGAATTTCAGAGCTTTCTTCAAATTCTTCTTGAATTTGAACTTGGTACTCCATGTCGAGATAAGTAGGGTTGATCCAATCATACAAAATTTCATGCTACAAAGAAGCAGCAGATGCAAAGAGTGAGTTAATAATTCCTACTGCTTTTGTTCTGAATCATTTTACACTAGTAAAATATATGCAAATCTTCACTTTATAATTTTCTCCTTGTTAAATAAAGTTCTGGAAAGCTCTGCCTTAGAAAGATACTATCAAAAGTGTATCTAAGAAGGGTGGAAAGGCAAGCTCAAAGCCTAGTTCTGTTATCAGGATGAGCCACTTTTAAAACCAGAAAAGCAAATGATATGCCACAGCTTTTCTAAGACAAGAATCCCAGCAACAGGAATTTATCCTTACATCTTGCGGGATGTAAGGGCTCCGAGGTATGAGAGGTTCAAAGTAGGTGGGAGGCCTGGTCAGTAAAGGACCATGAAACCAGCCGCTGATGGACAAACGCGACTTTTCTTCAGACAGGACTTCAGAAACCTGAAAGGACAAGACCAGCAGCACATCACTGCAAAGACCAGCGGGGAAGATTACCAGCCAAGGCTCACTAATTTCAGGACCCTTCACACTAGGTGTGAAAACAACCTGGCTGGACAGTCCAACCGGAAGCCGTCACATTTAGAGAACGGGCGACTGAAAAGCATGCTCTTTGGCCCTCTATGTATTTGTGGTTCACAGTCTTTACCTGGTGAAAGGATACTGGAGACACTTCAAAGAAAACCAGTGTGTTCCACGAAGGGATAAGAGACTTGACAATCTGCTTCGGCTGAAAGTGTTCTGCGTGGGGAGAGAACACATCTGTAAATGTGCTTCATCGTCATTAACCACTTCCAGGTTGCCTCGTTTCACCTTGACAATTTGCCAGTTTCTAAGGGTAGCTAAATGTCCCTTCCAGATCCCCATATGCCACCCCCTTCCATCTGTTTCTCTTATATAGTTCTGCTAGGTGATATCTGTTCTTACTCCACCATTCTTTATTACTGATGAAGGCTGGTAAAGGTTCTGAACGTTTTCTGGAGTCGAGCTCTGGTGTCAGTCATTAAAAAAAAATAAAAGACCCTGACCTCCCATCAGAGGCACTGGTCCTGGCAGATTCATAGCCACGGGTGGCTGCACATGTTCTCTACCCTCCCACGGCCAGCATTCAGAAACAGGGTCTGACTATTCCTCATCTTAACTCGGCTCTAACTTATCTCTGGAGTAATGATTATTTAAGGCACAACTCAGGGCTGGCAATTATCCCCCTGCGGTCACCACTGTAATGAAGAGCTTCCATCTCCCGAGGAGCACAGACAGAGCGCCTAAGGACCCGCAAGTGGCTGCTGGTGTTGAAGAGCACGACTTTGTCTTACCATCAACATTGTACAGGTCTAGGGTGCCCCCCAAGCTCCTGTCCCAGGGAGGAACCAGGTAAAGAATGAAGGCAATCCGGCGTCCTTCCAGCTCGTCGTCATGGCAGAGCAGGGCATCTGCAATAGTTCAGCGCACACCGTAATGTCCCTGTGCGGCAATGAGCAGCGGACATCTGACTCTGCGCTCACTATCAGTCCACCTGCTATTCCTCCATAAGGTCAGCTCCTCCAGCTTTAAAATGACACTTATTTCTCCTCTTTTATAATTACAGAAATAAAACTGTCAATATAGAAAACTCTTAAAAACACTGAAGAACATATATATATAGACTCAGATAATCACTACTAAAATTTTTACATATTTTCTTCCAGTATTTTTCAACATACATGTATTTGCTTTTTAAAAAATAGCATCCTACAGTGGTGGTTTTGTGGCTTTTTCTTTTATTACATGGCAAATGTATTTTCTGTCATCTCTTTTAATGGCTGCATAGTTATTCTAGGACTGAGCAAGATAGGCATCCGGGCAAGGTGGGAGAGGGGAGGGGATGCTATGGGTGAAGTGAGATCATTCCACACGGAGGGGTTGTTTTAATAAACATATTGAAAATAATGGAAGGCAGATTTCTCAGGGTTGAAGAATGGAATTGCAAATATGGAAAAGGAGAAATCTAGAATGAACCCTATGGTGTGGAAATGAAACCAGAGGAATCAATGTGACTTGTCTAGAGCACAGGAAATACAAGATAACCCTGGAAAATCTTGTTTTGCTAGGAAGTAAGATATAATAAGAATGATGAGTGAAAGTGAGTGAAACCCACGTAGGGGCCTTCTTGGTGACAGACCTCTTGGTGTTCCCTGCTTATTGCTGATTGGAAAAAGAGGCTATGGAAATAAGCTGTGACTTCCTAGGCCCTCCATGAGAAGCAAAGAGCAGGCCCCAGCAGCTAATGACTGAGGAATAAAGAATGCAGAAACAAAGACAGGGCAGGCAGACGAGAGTAGCCATAACTTAATAAGTCAGTCACAAGGACTCCCAGTTCTGCTTCAATGGTAAACGTAAGTGTGACACACATTCCTAAGCTGTTTTATAGAAACCAGACAAGAAAAGCTGACCACGAGCATGTAGCCCCCAGACTGGCTGGAACCTGAAGATTGAGGATGCTGACCCCTATAACCTCATCTTGTTACCTCACCATGCACCAATCAGAGAACTGTGCATAAGCTGATCACACCCTGTGACCCTCTCCCTCACCTTGCCTTTAAAAACACTTCCCTAAAACCCATCGGGGAGCCTGGGTCTTTTGGGCACGAGCGGCCCGTTCTCCTCTTCTGGTGCCCTGGAATAAACTACTTTCCTCACCACAACTTGGTTTCAGGAGATTGGCTTTGCTGTGCATTGTGAGCAACGTTTGTTTCAGTTAACATGAGGACATACTGAAAGGACACAGAAGTCAGCTTAAAGGCGATCCTCCTGATCAAATCTGGGACAACACGAGCATCAACATAATGACAGTAACCATTACATAAATAGTAATCCTTAAATTCACACTGACATAAATAAACAAATGAGTAACTGGGGGGAGAGAAAGGTTTTCTTTACAGTAGAATGACAACTAATAAAGAAATGATTTTATTAGGAAAGAAATCACCATTTGGCAACCTGCATAGTAATACTGTAGTAAGAAATATCAGTGGGGGGACGAGGGAAAGATGGTGGAAGAATAAGACGCGGAGATCACCTTCCTCCCCACAGATACATCAGAAATACATCTACACGTGGAGCAACTCCTACAGAACACCCACTGAACGCTGGCAGAGGACCTCAGACCTCCCAAAAGGCAAGAAACTCCCCAGGTACCTGGGTAGGGCAAAAGAAAAAACAGAGACAAAAGAATAGGGACAGGACCTGCACCAGTGGGAGGGAGCTGTGAAGGAGGAAAGGTTTCCACACACTAGGAAGCCCCTTCGCGGGCGGAGGCTGCGGGAGGCGGAGGGGGAGGTTCGGGGCCGCGGAGGAGAGCACAGCACCAGGGGCGCGGAGGGCAAAGCAGAGAGATTCCCGCCCAGAGGATCGGTGCCGACCGGCGCTCACCAGCCCGAGAGGCTTGTCTGCTCACCCGCCGGGGCGGGCGGGGCTGCAAGCCGAGGCTCGGGGAGCGCAGGGAGAGGACTGGGGTTGGTGCGCCACGGCTGGCTGGGAGAAAGTCCGGGAAACGGTCTGGAGCTGCCGAAAAGGCAAGAAACTTTTTCTTCCCTCTTTGTTTCCTGGTGCGCGAGGAGAGAGGATTGAGAGCGCTGCTTAAAGGAACGCCAGAGACGGGCGTGAGCCGCGGCTAAAAGCGCGGACCCCAGAGACGGGCGGGAGACGCTAAGGCTGCTGCTGCCGCCACCAAGGGGCCTGTGTGCGAGCACAGGTCACTATCCACACCCCCCTTCCGGGAAGCCTGTGCAGCCCGCCACTGCCAGGTTCCCGGAATCCAGGGACAACTTCCCAGGGAGAATGCACGGCGGGCCTCAGGCTGGTGCAACGTCACGCCGGCCTCTGCCACCGCAGGCTTGCCCCGCACTCCATGCCCCTCCCTCCCCCCCGCCTGAGTGAGCCAGAGCCCCTGAATCAGCGGCACCTTTAACCCCGTCCTGTCTGGGTGAAGAAAAGACGCCCTCAGGCGACCTACACAGAGGTGGGTCCAAATCCAAAGCTGAGCCTCTGGGAGCTGTGAGAACAAAGAAGAGAAAGGGAAATCTCTCCCAGCAGCCTCAGAAATAGCGGATTAAAGCTCCTTAATCAACTTGATGTACCCTGCATCTGTGGAATACATGAATAGACAACGAATCATCCCAAATTGAGGAGGTCGACTTTGAGAGCAAGATTTATGATTTTTTCCCTTTTTCCTCTTTTTGTGAGTGTGTATGTGTATGCTTCTGTGTGAGATTTTGTCTGTATAGCTTTGCTTCCACCATTTGTCCTAGGGTCCTATCCGTCCGTTTTTTAAAATTTTTTTCTTAATAATTAATTTTAATTTTAATTATTTTATTTTACTTTATCTTCTTTCCTTCCTTCCTTCTCTCCCTCCCTCCGTCCCTCCCTCCCTCCTTTAGACAACGAATCATCCCAAATCGAGGAGGTGGACTTTGACAGCAAGATTTATGATTTTTTCCCCTTTTCCTCTTTTTATGAGTGTGTACATCTATGCTTCTATATGAGATTTTGTCTGTATAGCTTTGCTTCCACCATTTGTCCTAAGGTTCTATCCATCCATTATTTTTTTTAAATTTTTTTCTTAATAATTATTTTTTAATTTAATAACTTTAATATATTTTACTTTATTTTATTTTACTTTATCTTCTTTTTCTTTTTTCCTTCCTTCCCTTCCTTCCTCCCACCATCCCTCAATCCCTCCCTCCTTTCTTTCTTTCTTTCCTTCTTTCTTTCTTCCTTCCTTCCTTCCTTCCTACTTCTACTAATTCTTTCGCTCTACTTTTTCTCCCTTTTATTCTGAGCCGTGTGGATGAAAGGCTCTTGGTGCTGCAGCCAGGAGTCAGTGCTGTGCCTCTTAGGTGGGAGAGCCAACTTCAGGACACTGGTCAACAAGAGACCTCCCAGCTCCACATAATATCAAACGGCAAAAATCTCCCAGAGATCTCGATCTCAACACCAGCACCCAGTTTCACTCAATGACCAGAAAGCTACAGTGCTGGACACCCTATGCCAAACAACTAGCAAAACAGGAACACAACTCCACCCATTAGCAGAGAGGCTGCCTAAAATGATAAGTCCACAGATACCCCAAAACACACCACCAGATATGGACCTGCCCACCAGAGAGACAAGATCCAGGCTCATCCACCAGAACACAGGGAACACAGGGAACACAGTCCCCAACAGCAGGAAGCCTACACAACGCACTGAACCAAACTTAGCCACTGGGAACAGACACCAAAAACAACGGGAACAAATAACCTGCAGCCTGCAAAAAGGAGATCCCAAACACAGTAAGATAAACAAAATGAGAAGACAGAAAAACACACCACAGATGAAGGAGCAAGATAAAAACCCATTAAACCTAACAAAAGAAGAGGAAATAGGCAGTTTACCTGAAAAAGAATTCAGAATCATGATACTAAAGGTGATCCAAAATCTTGGAAATAGAATAGACAAAATGCAAGAAACATTTAACAAGGAACTAGAAGAACTAAAGATGAAACAAACAATGATGAACAACACAAAAAATGAAATGAAAAATACTCTAAATGGGATCAATAGCAGAATAACTGAGGCAGAAGAACGGATAAGTGACCTGGAAGATAAAACAGTGGAAATAACTACTGCAGAGCAAAATAAAGAAAAAAGAATGAAAAGAACTGAGGACAGTCTCAGAGACCTCTGGGACAACATTAAACGCACCAACATTCGAATTTTAGGGGTTCCAGAAGAAGAAGAGAGAAAGAAAGGGACTGAGAAAATATTTGAAGAGATTATAGTTGAAAACTTCCCTAATATGGGAAAGGAAATAGTTAATCAAGTCCAGGAAGCACAGAGAGTCCCATACAGGATAAATCCAAGGAGAAACACGCCAAGACACGTATTAATCAAACTGTCAAAAATTAAATACAAAGAAAGCATATTAAAAGCAGCAAGGGAAAAACAACAAATAACACACAAGGGAATCCCCATAAGGTTAACAGCTGATCTCTCAGCAGAAACTCTGCAAGCCAGAAGGGACTGGCAGGGCATATTGAAAGTGATGAAGGAGAAAAACCTGCAACCAAGATTACTCTACCCAGCAAGGATCTCATTCAGATTTGATGGAGAAATTAAAACCTTTACAGACAAGCAAAAGCTGAGAGTTCAGCACCATCAAACCAGCTTTACAACAAATGCTAAAGGAACTTCTCTAGGCAAGAAACACAAGATAAGGAAAATACCTACAGTAACGAACCCAAAACAATTTAGAAACTGGGAATAATAACATACATATCGATAATTACCTTAAATGTAAATGGACTAAATGCTCCCACCAAAAGACACAGACTGGCTAAATGGATACAAAAACAAGACCCATATTTATGCTGTCTACAAGAGACCCACTTCAGACCTAGACACACATACAGAC